CAAAAATGTAAATTTTCTAAAAATAGGGATGATTAGAGTGCCAAGTGAATTGTGGCCCAAATGTCATTTTAAATAAAAATGGAATTTAATCCGCCTTGACTGCCAAGTTTCTTAAATATTATAAACTTAACACATTAGCATACTATGCAATCAGGACTCTTCCTCTTCAGTGTAGATCTATTATGTTCTAAACTATAGGTGCTCCGCCATCTGTAATATTTCTGCATTTCTACTTCTAAGTATTTCTACATGAGTAGTTCTCTGAATTTGTTTATATTACATGTATATATGTTTAAAATAACCTTAAAATTTAAAAAAAACAACATATTTGCAGTACATATGAAGGCACTATCTATATCTTTATATGCTACTGACTATATATCCTTAATTCTAAAATAAGGATAAAATACAATCTTATCTACGTCTTTTCTTAACCTTGTTGTATTCTCGGAATCTGTCTCATGAAGAAATAATAAATGTAAAATAATAAAAAATAAAATTACAAATGGCAAAATGAAATGAAATGTAAGAAAGCTAGTTTAAGTAGGATTCCTTACTGTAAATCCCCCCATACTAACTCTACTAGCATTACTCCTACATAAGGAACAGCTGATGATAAATTTATAATTGCTTGTAGCTGCTCAAAAAAGAAGTTCCAAACTCTTTAAGGCGTTAATAGTTAATAACCCTTTGCACTCGAGAGGTGACCCTCACTCACCATGTGATTTGATGCCACAACTCAAGAGGTGACTCTCGCTCACCACTTGGTTTGATGTGGAAACTCGATGTGTGGCAATAACTGTTTACGTTTAGTTTCTTTGAAGCGGGTTCCTATCCTATGAAGTGTAAAATGATACGCCTTTAAATGGAGACAAGACTTTCTTATCTGAAATCTTATCTTTTCTTATCTATCACAATGTCTGTTCTCAGAGAAATGAACCCGGAAAAAGGCATCAAACAACATATTATTGCAATACTTGCCCCGACAAGCCAGGCATGCATCTTGGGAATTGTTACATAAAATATCATGCACAGAAAAAATACAGATGCTAATATTTAAGAAATTATGTTTATAGAAGTGTAAAGATACATAAAATGTTAAAATATAAATATTTTATACATTAACTTGTGTGTGTAATGATTTTAAGTTACTGGTAAGAAATGCATCACAAAGGCTTCGAAACGCCTTGAGTTGCTCGTGCATCGCATGAAAGAGGCCCCGAGGGCAAAGGGTTAACTGAAGACTATTTACATATGGTTATAAACTTCTGTAAATACTTGATTTCTTTGATAGCATTTTTCTTCATATGCACTGCTTAATACTATATATTGTTTTATTTACTTATTTGTTACTTTAAGGGTAATAGACCATGGTAAAATGGTTTATTTTGTATGTAATTAAAATTGTGGCTACCATTTTTGTATATAAATACTAATTTCTTGCACTGAATTACAGATCTTTCAAATTGGAAAGCAACATTTAAATTGTAAAAATAGTTAAATTAGAATGCAAGGTATGGCCGAAAGAAAACATTCCACCAAAGCTTTTGAAAGCCTGTACAACACCATATACATACAGATAGATGAGCCAGCTATTAATTATATCTGATACAGTTCTGAGTATTTCAGAAAGACTGCAGTTCAAAGCATTACCTAAATTATACAAGGTCCGGTTATTAATTTCCAGGACTGACGTAACTGTAGGAGAACGAAAAGTCGGAAGATGGCGCTAATGATTGCATATTGAAGAGCGCTTCCTTGCGCATGTGCAGTGCAATTGGTGTCATTCTGAAGTAAGTGGTTCTCATGGAAAGGCACATTAAAACGTAGCTCTTAAATTCCTATTGTCGAAGTGAAAATGGAGCAAAGAATTAACATATCAACAACGCTGATGCTGACCCTGCATTCCTGGATAGGATAGTCACTGGAGACGATTCTTGGTCTTATCAATATGACCCTAAAATCAAGCGTAAAAGCTCCGAATGGCGGTCTCCAAGTTCACCAAGGCAGAAAAAATTTCGATTTGAAAAGTCCAAAATCAAGGTCCTGTTAATCGCTTTCTTCGATTGTGATGGACTAATTCATCATGAATTTCTTCTTCCTTACATGACTATCAATGGACAGTTCTACACAGAAGTTCTTGACCAACTTCGAAAATCTATTCGCAGAGTGAGGTCTCATTTTCAACAAAATGGGAGCTGGCTGCTGCTACAGGACAATGCCCGCCCACACATTGCGTTGCCTGTGAGGCGATTTTTAGCCCAGCATGGTGTCGTTGAAATGCAGCATCTACCATACTCTCCAGACCTAGCACCTGCAGACTTTTTCCTGTTTCCTAAGCTGGAAAATTCGCTGAACGGAACAAGATTTCAGGATGTCGAAGCCATCAAGAAAACTGTAACATCAATATTAAAGAGCATTCCAAAAGAGGACTTTAAAACTTCTTTCCGAAATTTGTACAGCCAAGCACAGACGTGAATTACAGCTGATGGGGATTACTTTGAATCATATTAAATGGCTATGTGTTTAACTTTTCTTCTGAGTTATTCCATGAGTCCTGGAAATTAATAGCCGGACCTTGTATTTTATAATTTACCGTGCAAGTGACAAAGGTAATTTATAATATTCTTTATGTATTAAAGAGGATTTACTTAATAACTCCATCCTTTTTTATCTATTTACAGCTTTTTATTTTGCTCTGAGTCATAATTCATTTCAAATACATTGTCACTTTTTTCCTGCTCATCTGAAGTGATTATTTAAAGAGACATCCACAAACCTGTAACTTGCAATTAACTGGTGTCGGAAGTAGGATTCTTTGAATGTCAATAACAAAGAAGATAGTTTTGGAATGCCAACAACAAAGAAGATAGTAGAGCAGCTGAAAGCCATAATGGTAATGCATGCTGCCAGCCAGGAAAAAACAAAGGAGAATTTCATTGAAATGAAGATGAAAATTAAAGAACCCTGTCATAATGGATGCTGCTAAAATGAAGGAGAGTATTGCTGCTGTCTCTTTATGTTGGGAAGTCTAACCCTTAGCACTCCACATATTTTCGTACCACTGCCTACCAGCAACTCCAGCACATTTTCGTAGCGGAACGAGTGAAACAGACACTTATTTTAAGTGAAAAGAAGTAGACATGCTTCATTTATTTTATCCATATGCACTTTCTTCTTGCAAATTAATTTTTTTAAATTCACCATGGTGTGATTTATTTGGAAACCATCTCCCATGTGTATCCTGGGTTTACTTGAGCAAGTGTCACATCGAAGTCTTTCTGAGAATCTTCACTTTCAATAATTCTCATTCACCATCTCTTTAGTAGTATAATTTTGGAACCACTATTTGAAATATAAGAATCATAATTAACATCGTCTTTTGCAATATCTTTTAACACTTGAAAATCAAACACGTCTTCACTACTACTCAACTCTAAATTCTCATCATAATAATTTTCTCCATGTCGCTAATGATAAAAAAAGGTAAAAAATGGTTTAATCATAACAATACAGAGACACACATTTTAATTGCAGATAACAATTGATAACGCCAATGATAATACAGCATCTTAAGCGTAATCATGCTAAAAACATTTGGCTCTGCAGCAGAGCCTATGGAGCTGCAGAACAAATGCCGGATGGCCTCGTAGTGGAGCCAACAGAGCACAAAGGGCTAAAACTCAATGTTGGGAAGGAGGAAGCAGCCACTACTGAGGAAAAACTTGAAAGAGAGATAAAGAATGTTTTGAAAATAAGTATTTAGCAGAAAACACAGAATTATCTAAAAAAATGTTGAACAATTACCATTTTTACATTAAAATTTTACTGATTCTGAAAATGCTTAAATGCACTAACATTACAATAAAAAAGCCTCAAAACACTCTTTTATTCTGTAAAATTAGACAGAGAAATTTTTGTTTTGGTAGATTTATGCATTTTTGCCATAATAACTATAAGTCAAGTTATACAAATTCAATAAAAGTCTTAAAATTCAAAATTTAGGTGGCAAATTCTTTAAACATACTCATTTTTTGGATGAGCTTTTCCAGTTGTTTACATCTCTACTGTTCAGAACAGGTAATTGATATAGGGATGGATGGTGAGATTAATGAACATAACCTAAAAGTTTATGATGCTCTGATATATAGGGAATTTTATGTTAATTAACCAGTTAGGTTTCAGTCTTTACTATAACTTCTCCTTTACCTGAATTCAAATTAACTTTGTGAATATTTACATTGAGGTTTTTGGATTTGAAATATAGAATATTTCTGGCATTGCATGCTTTACTTGGTTGGTTTCTGCCAGTTTTGGTTGCTATTAATTCGGCTTTGTGGTCTCTCGCTGCCAACACTTTGATTTTGACATGCTGGCAGCCAGCTTCTAGTATAATACTTAATTATGTAATCTTCGACTACTCTTCAATCTCTGATTTAATTTGCTTTAAATTTATATGCATACCATGAGTTTTTACAGCATAAGAGCATGCATTTATATTCTAAGTTCAGTTTAAATGAAAAGGTTATTATAACCTTCTTGAGACTCTGTTGTTAATCTCAGGCATAGTGATAACTCACTTCATGTATGTTAGGGTAATAGGACTTGCATAGCATTACTAGACCAAGCGTATACCAATCAATATATATATTAATATAATAATCATACTAATAATCATAATAGATATGCCAATAATTACACTACAGCAATGGAGGCATTTTTTTTTAAATTCCTTACAACATTCCACCTCTTCCAATATAAAGAACAAAGCACAGAAGACAAATCAAGACAATGTTTAAAATAAAAAGGATTAAGAAAAATTAATACTTATCACTAGTTATTATTTGGCAGGTTTACTGGTCCATTACTTCAGCTTTAAAGCTTTACAAATGCAACTAAATACATAGCATTCACTTACAATTTTCATCAGAATTAATCATCAGAAACTATCAAAACATTTATACATCATTGCAATAAGCTAGAATTAAAATACAACATACTCTAAAGTGTTATCCAGGTATACTCCAAGCAATATATAAAACAACCAATGCCTGTATTTCTTATCTTTCCCAACAGACATTCTTATACAGTAATCTTCAGCAGCTTCATGGTCTTGTATTTGATGAACAAGGATTTTTAACGCCTTTTCATGTTCTCCAAGCTGAAATTACTTTATGAATTAAAATTACATTCACATCTTCAACAATCAATCACAAAAATAAGCCTCAAAAGGAAAACAGTAGAAAATAGCGAAATTTTAATACCTGTTTAAAGTACATATTTAATTAACATTTATGATTATATATAAGCAAGATAGATATATTTTTAACAGTTTCCACAATATACAAAAAAAGGGACAAGTTTGCTAATATAATCAGTGAATATTGAACATTTATTTCTAGTAATAAGCATCCATGATAACAGCAAAAACTGCATTTGAATTAAAAAAAAAAAAATAAGCTTAAACAACATGATAAGAATCACATATTACAGTTACAATAGTCATATTTAAAAGAAGACATGCTTCTACTCAAAATAAAAAGTAAATGCAAAAATTTATCACTGGCAATTATTTTTTCATTACAAAACAATTTTTTCATAAAAGCCTATTCTTAAATATTCTAGACATACATATATGCATAATTGGGCTATAAACTAATCAAGTGCTTACATATTTTGAATATTTTAAACACTTCATGAAAAATACAAATATGTAATACAGAAAAAAAAAGTAAAATTTAAATACACGCTTATAACTGAAATTATTATATTGTCACCATCACATGTATTTTCTGACACAATCAGGCCAATCATTTTCTCATTTAAGTTTCCAATGATTGCTAAGAATATCCTTATAAAGAACAACATAGTTGGAGCCAATATTGATCATTTCTTCATGGTGCATCACTTAATACCACCTAATTGTTAGAGGGATGCTTACAAATATATCCTTTTACTGAAGAAAATGTTAAGAATCTCCAATGAACATAGCAGATTGGGGGGGGGGATAAAATTAAAAAAGTAATTTACAAGTATTTATCGTCCTACCTTAAAAAAAAAGCCATTTTTTTTAATTAAAAATTATAAAAAGTAAAAGCTTTGATCCTTAAAATACCAAACTTTGTTATGAACATCATAAAAACATATACTTTTCCCTACAATTTAATATACATAGAAAAAACATTTAAGGCTCATTATGACTTTTTTGGAATATGTTCATTTTATAAGCATTTATTTTATATCATTTATCCTCAGATATCAATAAAAAATTGCCAAGTACATGCATCTCACTCCCCGTTTTTAAAAATTTGTTTGTTTTATTTTTTGGTGCAATCACTACAATGATTTCAATACATTCTGATACAGAAAAATTTTAAATAAAATATCCAAAATTAGAAATCATCAGTTTCTCACACACTTTCCTACAGAAACAATTGCAGATCATTTCTTGCAAACTCCATTCTTTTAAAAACATTTTTATCAGACTGTTATAGTGAAATATTTTCTATGCATAGTAAAGTAAACTATTGTAGTGACTCAGTCATTGCATTAGTGATACTTATATTTAATTTCAAGTATTTTATATTTATGCATGCATTTAATTATTTTGTAAAATTAATTTTAATCCTTGTTGATATTCATATTTATATTTCTTTTATACTGAATGGCAACAAATAGCTATTCATGATTATTTTTTTTTGAATTTTGATTTTATTGCTTTTGTTATTCAAAACATCAGATCATTTTGATAGCTAAAAAATAAAAGCAGTAAACTTAGTAATTCTTGCTGTTTCTAAATTATAATTCAGTTTGAATACTGGTAGTCAAGACTTTGGTGCAATGTGTTTGGCGCTTTTCACAAGATTGATAAGCATGCCAAATGTGGTATTCAAGTCAATTTTGCCGTTCTGGAAGGCAAATTTCAGAGCATTTTCACACATGCGTAGTATGTATTTTAAATTGAGAATTTCGGTTGAAATGAGGTTTAGCCCACTGTTTCCGACTTTTTTTGAATGGGCAATAAATGCGCCAACATGGCTAACTCGATATTATGATTCACTACAAACATTGATTCACTTTTTAAATTGTTGCCACAAAATATTAGGGGCCAGTATTATATTTAAAGAATTTAAATAATGAAAAATATGCATAAATGCATGTATGTTTCTTGCATTGTGATAAAACAATGTTAACCTAGAGCCATCAAATTTTAAATAATGTACGTTTCAACCCGAATATGGGCATCTGGAAGCCCAAATTCAGAATTTGTTTATGATTCACTACAAACATTGATTCACTTTTTAAATTGTTGCCACAAAATATTAGAGCCCAGTATTATATTTAAAGAAATTAAATAATGAAAAATATGCATAAATGCATGTATGTTTCTTGCATTGTGATAAAACAATGTTACCCAGAGCGATCAAATTTTAAATAACGTACGTTTCAACCCGAATATGGGCATCTGGAATCCCAAATTCAGAGTTTGTTTTATATTATCTGTTTCATATTTTGTTAAACGTTTAATGAATTTTTGATTAACAAACTCAACGATTTCAAAGCAAGCAATGGCAAAACTGTACAGGGAAAAAAATATTTTTATCTCCAGCGCGCGAAATTGTGTAACGAAAATTCTAAAGATATGCTTATTTTAAAATTATTTTGCAATATTGCTGTTGAACTGAATTTTACGGTTTAAGTGCAAGAACATGATATTTAACAAATAAAGGCAACACACAAAATGTTAAAAAAAATGCACCTTTGGGGCATAATGTAAAATCTTAAATTTCAGATTTTATTTTTTTTTAAATCTTATTACATATATATATATTTTAATTTCCTATCGTTTTTTAATTTTCTATTTAATTTCCTATCATTGACAATATTACCTACCGTAGCTTTAGATATCGAAAAGCCATGGCTTTCACAGTGTTTTTTAATAACTAGATACGAATAAATTTCTTCGGAGAGAGCACAAATGTCCGAAGACGAATTATCAAGTAGCAGATGATAATTTATGCTTTCAAAAATATACTAGCTGTTAAAAAGAATTTCCAAGCAGACGATTTTTTTGGACTTTTTACTCCCTAATTTGAGCTTTTAATTCAGTTGCCATTTGAATGTTCTTATGTGGTAGTTATCCAATCGAGTGGTTTTCTTCTGTGTGTTTTTGCCTTTTTTTTTTTTGCATATATTTCGTTAAATAAACAGTCGCTATGGATTTATCTGTGATGCTGAGAGAGGTGAGTGAATGTAGATGTAAATTTATTACTTTATTGGAAGTGCAAGGAAAACGTGCCGTCATTGAATGGTGTATGAAAGTTGGTTTGATTGCAACTTTTTTTGTTTGTCCGAAATGTGGTGATAATATGCATTTGTGTGAGAGAAAGGGAAGTATGCATGGATTTGAATGGCGATATAGAAAGCAAGGAAAACTGAATACGCATGATGTTTGTAGGAGTATAAGGAAAGGTTCATGGTTTAGTCATAGCAATTTGAGTATATGTGATATTTTGAGAAATACGAGATGTTGGTTTTTGAAAATAGGAAATGAATCTGTGATTCAAGAAGTGAAAGTGCATGAACATACTGTTGTTGATTGGTTTATGTTTTGCAAAGAAGTGTGTATGACGACTGAGGTTTTGGCTTGGTTTGGTTTATTAGATTACGGCAAAGCACTCGAGGGCTATCTGCCTTAACCCCTTCGCGCCGTGTAGCGCAAACGCTCGCTTATCGCGGAGGGCCGGCAGTGTCTTACGCGAGCGTCTGTCCAGGGCCGGGGCTTTTTTTGCTATTAAGCCTAAATCCATGAAATTTCCAAAGTATCAACACATTGTTTAATAATGCTCTATAGAGTATTTAAAAACGGCTTATGCTTTATAGATATTTTTATATATACTTTAATTACCTTATTTCTTGTTTAAATGCATATTTTACACATTTTATTTTCATTACTCACCATTTTATGACTTTTAACATAATACATCTGAAAACTAAATATATTACTTAAAATTCTCTTTTCGTATGAAAAAATTTGGAAACAGAGATCTACACAGTCCTACATTACATTCCTTGCACTCGTAATAACGACATTGATGATGAGGACATTAATTAATTAAGGATTTATGATGATGAGTACATTTCGGACATCTGTATGCCGACGTTTAGATTCGCCAGATTCTTTATGATCAGAATATATCGTAGTATCACTATCTCTACTATCAGAATCTGTTTCAGAATCAATATCTGAAATATTTTGCATCATTTCTGCTATTTCATGCTCTATTAAACATTTTTGACGCTTCGACATTGCAACGGTAAAACAGAAAGAATTCACGTCTAACAAGATCTAATTATTTTCTAAAAACTGAACTGCAAACCGAAATACCCAACGCTATAGCGAAAATAAAACTTCTCTACTTACAATAAACAACTACCAAGTGCGAATTTAAAGAGACGTCATAAATCACGCCATTCGGAAACATTTATTTCCCCTTTTGTTTATATAATCAAAAAAACGTGTATGTGAGTCATACTTCTCTCATTTCGAGTAGAAGGTCTAATGTACATGTATCTGAAACCATATGGACATACAGTGCCATCTTGTGGCAGAAGTTATAGTTTTTAAAACATTCCAGGACACTGGCACAAATACGTGACAGTCGCGGCTGAACGGGAAAACGCTCTGGCACGCCTGCGTGTCGGCTGGGAAGTGAGTGTGTTCGTTGCTGGCATGTAGATGTGACAGTCTGTGCGAAGGGGTTACGGAAGGGATGCCTTCGTGGAGGACTTTTTAAGGGAAAGTGGCTCGTATACACGTTACACATGGGGAAAACCACGAAAACACCTATGCAGCCAGCCCGTTCGCGGGATTCGAACCTCGGATATGACGACTGTGATAAATGATAGTGTTCCAATTGGTGATGAAGGAGTGATAGTTGAAGTGGCTGAGAGCAAGTTCGGGAAAATGAAGTATAGAAGAGGAAAGCCTGTGGACGGTCATTGGGTAATTGGTGATATAGACAGAGGAACGAACAGATGTTTTTTTAGAGAGGTTGAGAATAGATCAAAGGTGAGTTTGGAGAGAGTGATAGTTGAATGGGTGTTGCCAGGATCAACTGTGGTTTCATACTGCTGGAAGGCATATAGTGGACTAAAAAA